TTGTCTCTCTGTCAAATAAATAAATAAATAAAATCTTTAAAAAAAATTTAAAAATAAAATAAGTATTAATTATTTCAATAAATTAAATAGAAAATGTGGCTGTACTGACCAATTTTTCAATAATTAACATCTTTCACTAAGGATTTCTGCTGAAAAGCATGAAGTGGACTGTTGAGATTTTCTTCCTGTGGATCTTTGGGATTCTGGCTGATACATGAGGGCAGATATAATTACTGAAACAAGCCCAGGAATCTCACCTCTGGACCACAATAAATGATCCTCATTCCTAGACTCTTATCACACATATGGAACACAAAGAAAGCAGACAATACATAATAATCAAAGGGGGGGGAATCATACAACCACATGTTGTATTTTCTTACTCTGATCAAATGAATATCACCTTCGTTTTTCAGTTATATATGTAGACAGGAAATTCAGCTTTTACAAGTTTCAAGCGCATTTCCTCTTTTAGCAACTCACATAAAATTCATCAAATTAGAAAACAGAAGCTATGATTCCAAAACAGGAACTAATGACTGGAAAGGTTATTTTGTGGTTTTTCATAAATATACATCTGAAAAGCTATTTCTGTGCTGAATCCAAGGCTTCTTCTCAAATAAAGATAAATTGGCAGTGGTGGATTCCACTACACCCACCCCCCCATCCCCAGTGAAGTGTAGTTTGAAAATAATGACTTGAAAATGTTTACTTTCTGTGAGCTTTGGGGGCTTATGTCCATTTCACAGTAATTCTTAATAGTATATCTGCAGTGCATCTATTTGTCTATCCACTATGGACCTAATCGTCCATCCTCCCTCCACTATCAGGCATGCTGGATCCTAGAAAGAGTAAGTTGGATGCTCTCAGACGTGATTCACCTTTTCTGTGTGAAATCTAATGCTCCCTGCTTTTTTCACTCAGGTATATACATCCAAATTCTTCATCTAAATTTCACTTACCATTAACCTAAATACTCTTCATTCATGTTTATTTAATGTTACTATTATGTTTCCTATATTAAAGTGCAGGTAATAGTGCTTTCCTCAGAGTGTTCGTGTAATGGTTAAATGAGTTAATATATGTCTAGGGTTTAAACAAGTGCCTGGTATCCAGGAAGTGCTCTGGGTTGGCACATGGTACTGTTGATATTTTTGTTGTTGTTAGTGTTATTATTCCTACTACTACTACTATCATTATTTATATTTATATTTTAATCCTCAGTAAAGACTTTTTTCTTCTAAATAAAGCAAATATAGTAAAATTCATGCACAACAATTAAATCCATAGTAGCAAACACGGTTCTACTTTAAAAGACTTCTCTCTCCTTTGTATTTTTAACTCTTAGAGAAGCATCAAGAAACAACATGGTGTGTTTGATTTGTAGTCCCATTAGATTTGGTATTTGTCTCTCTCCTCTGTGAACTCCACATGACTGAGCTACAGTCTCCAGTCCCAGCATTATGTCCTTGTCCTGGAAGGACAGATCCCATGTTGTAGAAACACATTTCCATTCAGAATCCTATGTGGAGGGAAATGAATTCACCACAGAGGTCTGGTGTTAAAATGTAATTTATTGTTTTTTTTTCAAAATAAAGGCCACTTTAGCCAACTGGCTGGTAGATCCTATTGAACTCAAGACATTAGTCTGATACCCAGAATGATATTGGGGCAAGAAATGCAGCCCTGGGTTCATTCTTCAGCAAAGAATGAAAAGCTTTGAGGAATGGAATCAGATAGAGCTTTCAACCTTCATTTGCTCTTGTTCCTGAAGGATGTCTCGTAGCTACAAGATTGCTTGTGGGAAAGCGGTTTGCTGTGCCTGAAAACACTAGGCAGACATAAAGGTGAAGGACCCAGAATCACACGGAGGAGATAAATGAGTGAGTGCATCTCCACAGTTTAATGGAAGACTTTAGTTTTAAGAAAAGAGAGGGAAAGAGAACCAGGAGAAAGGCAACATGCAACTTTTGTCATAAATGAGGGAAAACTGCACTAGAGAACATGTCTTGTCTCATTCTCTGTGCATGGCCATATGTAAATATTGATTTCAAAGCAGATATTGCCTTGACTTAGAAGAGATTTGTGGCATTACAAAGATAAATCAGCCAAAATCTCACTTTAGGCCCAATCTCTTGTATGTGCATATGAGTGTGTATGTACGTGTGTGTGCACACATATGCGTGCTGAACCCTAAAAGCCTAGAAATGGTTTAACATAGCTTTTTTTGCATGAATGTGCCAATTTTTAGATTTCCTATATTGATGTACCAGAGGTGGGTGGGCAACTAAAATTCTTGGCATCTGACCACCTATGGAATTTATTTGAAAACCCAGGAACCTAAGGCAAAAGAGGCATGATGTATTTTAGGTGTGCTTATATTTTAGTGTGGAAGGAAGGTAAATAATATACAGAGATACAGAGGTGGACAGAACAGAAATGGGAGGAAAACAGTTATCCAAAGGGAAGAAAAGAAAAGTGTAGGAACAAATGCTGGGGACAAGTTTATGCATAGGGCAGAGAAAAAGAAAGAGAGTTCAGTAGGAGTCTTATTGTCCCACTGCTTGAGTTTTTGCAGGGTTTTGTCAGGGAGGCAGTAATCCTTAGGAACATGACTGACTTTTTTGGCCAACATGAGATTAGGCTGCTGACATGGAATACTGTACGCTTACTCTCCCAAGGAGGAAGTGAGAATACAGCCCTCTCTGATCATGGATATATGTGGTCTTTAATTTTTCCTCGGTGGAGCTCAGAAAAGCCTGCCTTCACTCAGCATTGCAATTTTGTGAGAGGACTTCCCCATATGAATTCTTGAGGCCATGGCACAGTATACAGAACTGTCAAGCACTTGCAGAGAAAAAAACACACGAGAGTTAGAACGTGTTCTCATGAAATTGGGTCGTGGTTTTTCTTCTGTACAATCTCTACCTTGGGCCAATCTAGTGTGAGTACCCGTGTGTGGGTGGTGTCCCTGGGTGAGGTCATCTAACAGACCCGCGATGTACTACCTTTAGAAAATTTTAGCTACACGATTAGGACAGGACCATAGAAGTACTCTCCTTAGGTCATCATGAACAGGAAATTAAAACCACAATGGCTCTAAAGAGATTCATTTAAATAAAAGCCAGCCAGGAAACTCCAAGGATAAGAAGTAAATCCTCTCTTTCTCCACTTCTCATCTCCCTGAGACAGGAGTCATTAATTGTTCATTACAGGGTATCCCATAATCTCCTCATCAGCCATATGGGAGCTATTTGTCTATGGGTACAATTTTGTCACAGTTTTATTTAATATAATTTCACCATCACCCTTAAGACTCTTTGTTTCCTATGTGTGCAAACAGACTTGAATTCTAGGCTTTTTAATGTGACATGTATTTGTTCATTAAGTGTGACATATTTGTCACTGAATATAAAGTAATCAGGCAGACAGCAGCATTTTGTCAATCCCGCTGTTGTTTCTTCCATGAACCAACTCCATTAAGGAATGCCTTATTATCCAGCAAATATTTTATCTGAAAACTTTATCTGCCTCTAATATAGCCAAGAATAAGGAAGTAGCAAAACAGATAGTATGTATATATGAAAATACATATATTTTATTTCTATCTACCTCTACTCATAGAACTAATAGATGTAATTTTAATGACTGTATTTGTAGATTTAGCTTATGGGAAAGTGGTTAGCTGGAAATTAAGGAGGGAGCCAGTGAGGTTGCAGTAGAAGGTGTCAAATGTGGAGAGTAGATGGTGAGAGAAAGAAGTGACAGCTGGAAACAACAAGAGAAAAATGACAAAAAATACACGCAACACATCAGAAAATGTGGCCAACGAGGGTGATTTCAAATTGGGGCACAAAACCTTCCAGACCTTTTAACCATTTAGTATTTTATTGTATTATAGCATCGTGTAATGATTGCTGGGCACAACATGACCTTGAGCATCATAAGAAGGTTACATTCTTTTCCATTGAGTATATTCAACTGTAGAGGTTAACAAGGTGAACAATACATTTATAATTGTTTCCAAATCAAAATAGTGATAATAATAATAATAATAATAATAGTAATAAAATATGTTTGAAGCTTTCATTATCTGGATGATACACAAAGATGGTATCCTTACTTTTTAATGAGGCTAGATCAATAAAGCTTTACTGCAGATTTTATTCATTTATCCTATCGCTCTCTCCACTGAATACCTCTGTTTCATTCATTCATTTATTCATGTATGATTGAGAAAGACACTGAAAATATGGTAGCAAACAAGACTATGCCTTGGTTTCCTGATCCACTCTCCCTTCCCCTGATAGAGCCAATGACACAGGCCATTCTGTTTAACTACAGGTCACCACTTAAGGAACTATAGAAATAGAAGTCATATATTCCTGAAGTTAGTAGGGCCATGAATGACCACTAATTCAGACTTTTTTATTGTTTCCTAATTGGAGTCTTAGGAGAAGGTCCTTGATGAAAAAGGAGTTCCGCAGCATCTAGCTAGAGAAGAGAAAGGGTATGAAGAAGAGGTGTGAATCAGTGAGTGGGGCCCTGAAGAAAGGCAAGAAGAGCAGAAGGCTGGGCAGGATAACATTGTGGTATGGGTCCCAGGCTGTGCTGGTGCACCGTGATCATGACAATGCCCCACTGCCTCGTCATCATCTGTGTGTGCACCTATCTTTCTAATTGCATGGGGAGCGCCCCAAATGCGGGGTGGCATCTTGTCTATTTTTGAAGCCCTGGTTCTAGGCAGAGTGTCGAATCCATTCCTGTTGGATGCAAAGCAACATTCACCAGGCATTCGCATCTAGGAAGGAGAAGTGGGAACTGTGGGTCTGTCACAAAGTCTAAAAGTTATGCAGAATGTTCGAACAGTTGATAACTTCCTCGATTTGTCTTCTGAGTCATCTTCCCGGCTTTGTAGTTGTGCGATCTGCAGTCAACTCAACCCTGAAGGGCCTCGGCTCTTATTTTGGGTTAATCTGGACACACAAGCTGGGGAGCTGTGTGTCTTTCTGCAGCACTCTCTATGGGAAAAGACTCAGAGGAGATAGAAAGGGTCGAGGCAGGTAGAGGAGAGAAACTTTGGCATTCAAGGTTAGTCCTAACTTGGCCTGGAATTCTTTCCAGCTCCACATCCCCAGGATGCTCTGCTTACCATCTTGCCCATTAAACTGAAACGTAGTCAGTCTCTACATTTTCACATTTCCACGCGGACAAGAAAGCATTTTCCCCCCACCTGTCTCCAGCCACTCAACTGAAAATAAATCGAATTTCTTCAGACTTCTAGACTTTCAGGTTGTCACGGAACATAGGAATCCACATTTACCTAGTTTATTCTGGAACGGGCAGCAGTAACATGCTGCTGCCGCCGCCAGGACCACTAGAAGTTAATGTTTGTTACTTACCATGCACGGGGCTAAGCATATCACACGTATAATCACATTTAAGCTCTGCAACAGTATGTCTTAGTATTGCCCTTTTTTAAGATGAGGAAACAGACTCAGGATGAGAGGCAAAGTAAGGTGGCCGAGTAGGTGGTGGAGCTGAAAGGGGAAGCCGAGTTACCCAAGTCCAGAGATTATGCCTTAATCACTAATCATTAGCCAATAATTCTTAATGAATAATACCACCCTTGCTTAAAAAATTTTTTAAACAATAGCTTTTTGTTTTGTGGATGTTATCATCTAGGAAAGACAAATTCTCTCCTCTGACACTTCATAAAAAACTAAATAAAGTTGAAACTATTGAACAAATGGTGAGAAACTAAAGGAAATGACCATGCCACATACTTGCAAAATCCGATCCCCTTCTCGAATTCGGCCATCTTTGGCAGCAATGCTGTTCGGATCTACCTGTAATGGAGAAAACATACATCTTTAACTGGATATGCAGTATTCCCCCAGGAACTTAAAAATAGGGTTTAAAAGATATTTTTAGTAACCTGGTTCAAAATTCTCTACTGATTTATAGAATGCGTGCCAAGGTTTTCTGTCAAAAATCACTGATTCAAAAAATACAAGTGGACTATTTTAGAATTAATAATAATAAAATTAAAGAGAACTAGAGCAGAACTTAACTATTTTTCTCTCTCCTTCCCTTTCTTTCTTTTTCTTTTCTTTCTTTCTCTCTATTCTCTCTCTCTTTCTTTTTTCTTCTTCTTCCTTTTTTTTTTTTTTAACTTCCATTCACTCATTTCTCTTTCCAAACTGTCAGACATGGTCCTCAGCTGACATGATTTTCAGCAGATGTTAATTCTAGGATTCTCTGAACCCAGGAAATTTGCTTTCTACTAGGGTGATCTTTAAATCCTGGTTTAGCTGTTTTAGAAAAGCTGAGAGCTATACTGTAAGTCCATACTTATTAAAGAGATTTCTGTCTCATGAACACATTAATTTAGAAAGGGATTTATAATCGATGTTGCTTGAAAAATGAAAAAAAAATCCTATCCATGTAGATTATTACTAGGCTCTACATTATAGGGTGAAGTGTATTAACTACAAAATATTTTAGAATAAATAGATATTTAAGCCTTTATTAGGAGTTTACCAACATTTTAATGGGCCAAACTTGAGTGATGACTTACAGTTCACTGGGGGTAAATCTGTCTATCATATTTTGAATGATGGCTCAAAGCCATTTATTTGAGCTTACTCCATCAAAGCTTTAATTTAAGCAAAGTATTTCTAGTGTAGCATGAGGTTGATCCATCCTATCCAGATGTTAGGTATTACTTTCTTATTAGGTGGTGCCACCTAATAAGTGAATTTTAAGTGATCAATCAAGAACAAAAGACACTTTAATTACATGTAAGAAGTATAAGGAAAATATTCCTTCCAAGTACATATGTTCAGTTCCTGTGGCTTCTTTATTGTCCCTGGAAAGTTAAAACTGCTCCAAAGCTGGCATATTTAAATGGTAAATAGAGACTTACTAGAAGGAAGGGAGGTATGATTAATCAACTGTATCCTACTGAGAAGCCGTTCACAATCTAAAAGTTTGCCTACAGAACCGTAATCAAACTAATGCCAAACTTTGACATTTGTACCTCTGTGCCTATTACAAAAGACAATTCTGCGACTATTTCCTCACCATAATTGGAGGGATTACCATAGCTGTCCATTCAAAAGAGGTGTATAAGTCAAACATTCTCTGGAGATTTTTCCATTGCAAGATCCAATCAGTAAATTCTTCGGTAAAGTGATAAAGAATAACGTTTACATTTATAGAGCTGGGTAATTTTCTTTTCTTTTTTTTTTAATGTAGATTTTTTTAATGTTATGTTAATCACCATAGAGCGCTGGGTAATTTTCTAAGTGCATTAATTACATTATTTTTTCCATATTCTAAACACCTCTATAAAAGCAATGAGATAAACATTGTTGTACCAAGTTTCTAGTCAAGGAAGCTGAAGCTCAGTGAGTCAGGTAATGTTGTTAAGATCACGGCCAAGAAGACCAGCATGAGACATTAATTAGTATCTAGTTTGTCTAACTTCTTTTCACACATATACATATACATGGTTTCACACACACATATATGTGTGTGTGTGTAGATACATATATAGGAGGAGTTAGGCAATACACACACATCTATGTACGTATGTGTTTGCGGATATATATACACATATATATAATTTTCAGTCATATGTACATATAATTAAAATAAATTATACCTTACTACTTCTCACAAAATGATTCTTTGGCCAGTCTTAAAAAATCACCTATAATAATAAATTTTGCTTCACATTTTTTTCAAAGTAATTAACACTAAGAAGAGTGTTTCACATTTAGGTACCTAACTTTCTGAGAGTGATTACAGGGGTTGAATGAAACAAACTCATAGATACATTCCTTGGATATTCAAATGTATCAATCCTGCCAGCAGAGTAAAATGTGTAATATTTGTGATATTAGATGTAAAACAATTAGTCGATGCTCTTGTTAACAGCACTAATAAAAGGAATGGAAGGATGAATGTTTGCCCATCAGAAACTTTGTTTGACTTTCTGCATACTTAGGGGAATTTATTCAAATTTAGGCAACGTTCCCATTTTTGCAGTTTTCCTTACTGGGATTCTCTGGTGAAAGCATCCCCATTAAACAAGCTGATAATAATTACATTACTTGGGCAACATAATTTACTTTCTTAACTGAAAGTGACAAGGACTGGAACATGGCCAATTCTTCACATTCAGGCCTCCCAAGGATTTTCTCGACGTGAGTCATTTGACTCCATTCTTCGCAGTCTCCCTCCCCCTACCTCTCCTCCTCAGCATTTCTTACCTCGCTGACATAAATGCCTGTGTCTTCTTCATCATCCGTTCTGTAACAGACTGTCAGGCCCAGCTTCTCTTGACTACTAACACGACACAGCTCGACCTCCTGAGAGAAAAACACACACAGAACGACATTTATCTCAGAAAGAAATCCCACAGCAGAATGGAGAACTCACTGATATTCTCTGGGTCGCCCTGGGAGGTTTTCATAATTACTGCCCAACATTTGAAATTAACTTACATTACCAAAATCACCCGAATGTACCTTCAATGTGTATTTCTGTATACTCAAGCCAGTGTTTCAAATTTTCATTGTACAGGTGGAAAAGTGCAATTCTTTTGTATCAAATCATAAACTTAAAGCTTAAAAATTATACAATAAAGTATAAAATATGCATCAATCAGTAAGATATTTGAGACTGTCAAAGTAAGTAGAAAAATGTTCATAAAAATACTGGGAGTTACTGTGATTTTATTTGTATTTTAATAAAACAAAACAAAGTTCAAATTAAAAAAGACTACACTGGGCCCTGTATCAATCCTTCTTTTGAGTTCTATACAATATGATAATCAGCAAGTGTTTTGTATAGCTCAGGCCAAGGCTTTCTATTATTTTGTAGAATCTCTCACCCTTGGAATGAAATGGTTCATCCAGGCTGAAGGGAGAGACATCAACAGGCAATGATTCAAAATGAGGCAGTAAATGAACATGGAAACACATTTACTGAAACACATGGCTAAGGGGCTTGAAATGTCAGTCCTTAGGTAATGTATATTGAATCTATTTCCTGATTTATGTTCAGTAAAATAATAATAAATTTCAGTGTATTTCATTTTTATATAATGAAACAGACTTGTACTACTCTCAGAAACAGATGACTTCAGGATAAATTGCATAATTCCAAGCACTAAAAGACAAATTGGTGTTCTCATCATGGAGAACTTGTTCCTATTGGATGAAGAATATAAGGTCCTTTGGTAAATATCAGATAAGATAAAACAAAGTAAATTTAAATGGGAAGAGAAGTCTGGATTAAGTTTCTGGAACTCGGACTCTGTGGGAGTTACAAATTTGTCTGCCTTGCTTAAAGCTTTCTCCAGGTCCTAGAACAGGGATAGGCATAGTGTGGGCACTCAGTAAATCCAGGCTAACGGGTGGCTGCTTCTATTTCAGATCTTTCCTGATGTTCGTAACTTTCTGTAAAAACAGTAATTAAGCAGTCTTCCTTCTTTAATGGGAGATAAGTTTTGTGTGTGTGTGTGTGTGTGTATGCATGTGTGTATGTGAATGAAAAGAAGATTTTGAAGTTTGATTATAATAAGCATACATTTAATGGTGTATTATTAGAAATAGTTACCAGGATTAAATAAAGAAAAACTCGCTTAACTTCAAACAAGAGGATATTCTCCAGTACACTCTGTTGAATTTGAAGAAGGATCCTCCCTTTCAATTTTGTATCTCAGGGCAGGCCTTGTCATTGGAAAATAACCATTTATTTTAACGACATGCTATAAACCATAGGTAAATCCTTAGCAAGGGTTGACTATCATAAGCTCTAGCGACCAATAATTTCAAGGCTGATAGCAAATTAAACAAAATTTAGACCCTCTGTCCTGAGATACGTACTGTAAATTGGTGAACTCCATGAAACTATGAAGAACGACTTTGTAACTGGTTGGCAAAGATACTCTAAATTCCACTACAGTGGATAAAAAGGGCATGGTGTATGCTAAACGGTAAAGAAAAAAAGGTGGAAAGTCCTCTCACCTTGAGGAAGAATAGGAAACAGTGGTGTGATTTGGCACCGGAAGTAAAAAGTACATACCCAGCAAGGGTATTTTCAAAACTGGCAATCATTAATGCCTCCAGAGGGAAAAAAAATACTTGACTGAAGCTGTAACATTAGGAAGAAATTACAGCAACAAAAGAGCTTCAATTACAGCAATGCAGTATACGGTTAAGGAGTAGAGAAGCTTATGATTCCTAAGAGGCCTACAAGGAAACCTAAACACTCCACAAGGAACTGAGATTGGGACCTTTAAATTAAAGCAAATGAGGAGCTGTAGTCAAAGCTGTGCACTGACTTTCAGTGTCCTTCTGATAGCAGGGGAGAAAGTCCCTGTGCTGTGGGAAGACATTTCCAGAGGGAGCCTTGTTTTGTAAGTGTTTTCTCGACATTCTCAAGGCTGCAGCATGGTTTTGGTGCTTGTTTAGGAGATGCACACTGAAAATATTCTGCAATAAAATGGAACCAACCTATGAAGATACAGAGGGCATAAGACTTCAATACCACAAATCAAAGCATCAACTTGAGAATCACAACGGAAAGAAGACTAAGATCCTGAGGTCAACATAATTTTTCAATATTGTCATCCTATCGGACCTAAGCAAAGCTGCAGAATAGGTCTCGAAGTTACATCTTTGTTTTTTAATACCCCACGTTTAAGACACTCAACACCCTCCTATTTCCTTCTAACTGTCTGGAGTTGCTAGAGGTCTGCCTGTGTAGGCAGCCAGTGGAATTTCAGGTTTGCCATCTTATCTACCTATCCCCTAGCAAAGTGGGCAATTAATGTTACCTTCTACTTTCTCACAAGTAGCTCTTAGTATATAAAGAAAAGTGATAGATATTTCTTAAAGAGATCATCACTAATAATTATTTTTAATTACGTTTATAATTCTACTTCCAGTATAGTTAACATACAGTATTCTATTAGTTTCGGGGGTATAATACAGTGATTCAATACTTCTATACAGTACTCACTGCTCATGCTGGTAAGTGTCCTCTTAATCCCCATTGCCTATTACACCCATCCCTCCCCCCAACCTCCCTTTGGGTAACCATCTGTTCATTCTCTATAGTTAAGAGTATGTTTCTTGGATTAGTAATTATTTTAAATGTTGCCCACTTAGGGTTTGGTTTGTATTAATGAAGACTGAAAACACAAAGCCTTAATTCAAAGGACTAAACTTCAGGTGGTAGGATTCCAGTCGCTGAGGGAGGGAGACTCAAGTGAGATTTCCTGGATCCCACAAACCATCCAACACCAGTCCCAAGTGTGGACTTGCCATTCTTTCTTTGGTTGAGAATGTTTCAGACACTGCATATTTCACACTAGTACACAGAAGCATACATTTTAGAATCAAAGTTCCTTTAATTCTATGATAAAATAACTTCCAAGCATATACCTGTAGAGCATCTTGTTTGTATGAGGCAAAGGTGGCTTTGTAAAGCCTGATTATCTGAAAGAAAGTCTCTAGTACAGGTTTAATTTCGTATTCCTTTCACAAAGCACACAAGCCTCTGACTTCTGAAGAAACAACCTCCTGGTAATAGAGAATGTTTTCCCTAACAACTTTCATACCTTTCCCTCTGTCCCTAGGAAGCTGTTTGATGAAAAACATAAAAGTGAAATGCTACCTCTGTACATTTTCCCCATAGACAATTCTCAGGTGTATACGAATCAAAGCCAGGCATGCACGATGGCACTGCTTAGCCATCCTTAAGACATGTGTGACTGGAGTGGAAGAATCGCTTCATATACCTGGTAAAACTACATTCCTTTGGCTTAAATGTGCTTTAAGATGCTATGTTCTGGAAACATGTATAAAGTCCCTTTAAAAATAAAATCATAGTGCCTAATCCTGTGAGAAACTGACTGCATGGAGATTGAGGGTGGAGGAGAAGGTTAGTTAGTAAACCTTGCTGTGAAACATCCTTCCAGTCAGAGAAAGAATGGGATCTATACATAAATCAGTTGCCCTACAGTACTGTGAAATTTTTATATATTTTATGATTGGGTCTAAGGAGGAACAGGGAACTTAAAAAGAAAAGAAAAAACTTTTGCTTTCTAGATAGGACTCTGTTGCTGGAGGAAGAACTGAGGCTTGAAAGTGTCTACAATGGCTTTTTAAAAGGCAAATTGTTTGCAAACTCTAGAGAGCTCGGAGGCCCGTGCCATGAAAAGAAAATTCAGAGGCAGTCAGTACCACTGAAACAACCCAGGGCCAGACAGGATGGTCACTGATGTCAACAGTCAACTGACAATTATGGGAGACTGGGGGGGGGGTCTCTTGTGTTGATATCATCCTTTTCTTTTATTTGTGTTCCTGGTTTATATTTATCAGACAACAAATGTACTACTATACAAGATTAGTATTAATCATGTATCATTGTCTTACATTTTGTAATGTTGATTAGTAACTAGTGGAATGCCATGCTGACTTGTTCTAACAAAACATTTATTTAAAAAAAAAAGAATTAGTGGGAAGTATAAAAACTTTAACTCCCACAGCTAAGGGAAGCTAGAGAATTTACTATGAAAATATTGCTTCAATATCATCATCTCCTCAATAGTGAAAACCAGGTATAATACTTACTAAGAAATAAATAACAAAATCCTGGAATACCCACATCACTAGGACAACATCAGGCTCACACACTCCATTTCCAAACACCCATAAGAAGCTGCTGCACCTTTTAACTAAATCATGTTTCTGTAGAGACAGAGGGTAAAAGCGAGAGCAGATGGTCATATCTTTCCACTAACATCCTTAACCTCAGGTCCTTACTTAGCTACGTTTTCTTTCTCAATGATATTGTTGTGAAATGCAGGCAGCTTTTATTTATTTATTTTTATTTATTTTAAATTTTATTATGTTATGTTAATCACCATACATTACATCATTAGTTTTTGATGTAGTGTTCCATGATTCATTGTTTGTGTATAAC